TATGCTATATGTACATGATATTTTATCTCCCTGACACGGCAAAATATCCTATACAAGTGGAATAGTCCAAGGGCTAAATATGAAAGTACTTCAATGTAATTGCACAAAAGTAGCATGGAAGCAATTGAGAGCTTTAATGGCTGAACGATGAATACTATGATTTTGAATTCCTTACAATAAGAGTAATGCTTTTTAGTTTCACTTTGGTTATAACCCTAATCTATATGGCGTTAATGTAACATTAAATAATAAATGCAATTAATTGAATAATTTAATTTCACATTTCATTTAACATATCATATGACATCACATAAACTGGGGTTATGGGGCCTAAATAATATTATTTTTACAACAAATGCTCGATTTATAACTCACTTTTATAGATGCACATCTCTACCGACCTTCTAGTAGCTATGTGCCAAGGCTCTTTTCAAGTGGTTTTTTAATAAATCTAATGCAACACTTGTATCAATCTCAACCCGAACTGTGTGCTCAATTCTAGCCATATTTTAAAGAAAATACTTTATCATGCCATCGATCGAATTAGACCTAGGATCAGATTGATTCGACTATTCCTTTAAATGGGATTGACTTAATTCAAATTTGAAACCTGAATCGAACAATCCTAACTGTTATATCTATAAATTACGTGACATCCATGTGGCAAAGGAAGTCCCACATTGGTTGACTCAAGATCAATAATCAATTTAATTGGACTAATTTAATCAAGCAACCTCGTCATAGGCTTTAGCTCGATCCATTAGCCCCACTTGGTCCATTTCCATTCCTCTATATATAGAGAACATGACATAACTTTCAGTCTATTAATATATAATTTCAAATTTGGCAAATGTAAGAAATTTTCCAAAAATCAGGCAGTATTAGTTAAATAATTAATAAAATAATGTTACAATACCATACAATTTATAATCATAGCTACTACTAGTTACAATTAAAAAACGTCACAGTTTCAAATTACATGGGAATGGTCTACAAATTTCATGACTACTCTTATTACATGAAGCTTACATATTATTCATTGATCACAATTTTATTTATTTATTGGTGACAATTATCTAATAGTTGGTACCAAACGTTCCTCTTTTGACCCATTCCGTCCTACCAGCACCACAAAAAAAATATTGGTATCACCTCACCACCACCATCTCCAACGTCCCACACAAATCACCACTATAATCCATCACCACCGCCTCCAAATATACCATACACATAGCACAAACAATCACACACATGCATCACAAATAGATCCACAAAACACCACCTCAACAACCCAAAAGGCGCCGCCCAAAATAGGACACAGTATCTGGGTCGATAGATTGAACAAGGGACTCCCACCTATTCCTCAGTCCATAACCACCACCTTCATCTTAAAGTCGTTGGTAGTTTAGCAAGCTTTTAAGCCTTGAGTCTATTGATTTTGGGGAAGTCAATTTAATCCTCCAATCATGGACCTCACATCACCGAGGTTGCAATCATTGATTGAGAGGAAGCCTTTATTGTTAGAGTTGAAGAAATTCGATTGGATCGACTTTTCTGAGTCGATTAAGTCAAACTTGTTGGCATCAGTGCAAGAAAACATCAGCGCAACTGCTTCTAAGAGTGCGATGAACATCATTGCACCGACTACTAGAAGCACATGAAGGAGGATAGAAGGTCGATTTTTCTGTTTACCTCATCTTCTTGGTACTACCATGGAGGCAGAGAACGAAGTGTTGGATTGGACTCTTTCTGGATGTTGGACTCGACGATGGGTGTGATTGTTCCCTATGTGGTCAAAGTCAATTATAGAGGCCAGAGTTGGTGGTAGATAATAGAGAGAGTGTAGAGAGACGGGGCTCGGTAGACCCAAGCCTAAGCTGGGGCCGAGCTCCATTTTGGGGACACGGGTTTTGCCCGAGTCGGCCCGTGAGCTCGCGAACTTTTTATTAAAAAAAATAAAATAATAATAATAATTATTTGAAACTTAAAAGGCAGCAGTTTGCTGCCTTTTAAGCCAGCGAACTGCTGCCTTAAAAGGCAGCCAAGCTGCAGCTTGGGAAAGGGAAAGGGGAGGTGATTGGGGTTCCGTTGGCCACTTGTCCACCGAATCTTAAGATCAACACTGAATCAATGGACTAGTCAAGTTTGAATTGAAATCCAGGGGCAAACGAACATATCCATTACAGGATATCCTTATTCCGGGTAAAAACAATACATATGTACGAGAACATGTTGCCAGCTTGTTAATGCAAGAAATGTACCTACTACTGTATTGGGTTGGTGCTTATCAATTTTGTAAGCTGTCATAGATCACTTGCCCCACGCTTCTATTATCATTAAACCTTCAAATTAAATTCAATAATATTCGCAATTAGTGCGCTGTTATGTAATGTTTGTTGCATGTTTTAGGATTAAGATACTACTTACCACATGACCTACACATAATAATTATAAAAAGAGTTAATTTTACGTTTGTAAGAAAATTCAAATTGATACAAATTTTTTTTTATTTCCAACAGTTCATAGATGGTAACTCAGATTTAAAAAAAAAAATAAAAAAAAAAAATAATCCAACATGTCTACGTTAGTAGTCTCAACGACGTTTATCCATCTAGTCAAACTCGAACAACACAACTAATAAAACAATTGTCGGAGAAATATCCAAAATCCACCTTTTGTCTAATACACTAAGCTAAGGTAAATCATAAGACGAAAAAAATTGTGAAATTCAGGTTTTGGGAAAGAATCTTGTCTATGTATTTATATAAGAAATTCAAAAGGGATGACCATGCATCAAAATAACACTCATTTGTCTACTCATCAAAACTAACAACGAGACGTTTGATTATACGTTAGTATTGTTTTAATTGAATTATTATTTGTGACATCGTTATAAACTTAGGTGGCTAATTGAGTAAGAATGAATCTTCTGTGGAAAGAATAAGTGTCGGGTTAAATTTTGTTTCAAACTATTGTAATTCCCAAAATCAGCATTTGAGCATTTAATAAATGAAAGTACTTTATTATTCCGCGTTTATAAAATTATTCAAATGGACATTGTACATTATCATTGGTTATTTTTAAAGAAGAATTAATAATATCTATCAAATCTAATAATTTCTAATTAAAGATAAAAGTATAGTCCATATAGTATAAAATGAATGAATGAATTTAAGAGAAGATTGTTCTTTTAACTACAGATAATTAAAGAAGCTAAAACTTACATGTTGATTTCTTTACTTCGTTAGTTCTAAATTCAAAATAGTCACTTGAAGCTTTGAAGAAAGGAAATCTTCCAAAATTTCCTATTTATTTCCTCTTTAATATTTACATTTGGAACTTATCTTTTTGTTGAAAACATTGGAAAAATGTATAAATTTCCAATAAATTTGTTTCAGATGTTTGGTAAGTATTATTTTTAATTATTAAACGATTTTTTGATTGATTAAAATTTTAAAAATATTAAATTAAGGAAACGCCTTTTTATATATATATTTTTTATGCCTATGCCTCACATAAAGTCGTCTAACCCATAACTTGGTCTCCACGCATCGCCATACATTACGTCTTTTAGAACACTGCTTTTCATAAAGTATGCAATTTCTTCATATATTTTAAAACACCAAAAGATGACACAAATTTACGAGTTCACACAAATTGAAAGTTAATATCAACTCAAAAATTTTATCATTCACTTCTGATATAAAAATTCCATTCAATGTGCAAATTCTTTTACATATCTAACGCACCAAAATATAATATGTATTTGTCGATTCGTATATAAATGAAAGCTAATAACTACTTTAAATATTTTAGAATTCGATCACACTATGAGGTCATAAAAATTACACAAGCTCAGAAATAATAATAATAAAAATTAAGATAATATGTCATAAATCATTTCAAAAAAGAATATTTACTTTATAAAATTAATGTAAAATTTCATCGAAATGTTAGAAGATTTGGAATCCGATCAAACTCATTGTTCATTTGGAAATTTTGGATATTTTAGGAAAAACACCATCAAAGTATTATATAATATAAATAGGTATGTTTATGTATTGAGAATGAATTTTACCTATCACGGATGTCTCACATATATGTATAAGATTTATTTATGTATTCACATGTCCAATTTTTAAGGAAATAATATTTAAAAAAAATCTTGCTAATGAACATAATAAGGCAATAAATTTTGAAATTATGTCAAAGAATCAATATTAGATTAGAGAAAAGTAAAATTTATTTTAACTAGAATTGAAATTTCTCAAATGCCCAATTTTGTAGTTTTTATTTCAACTCCCCGAAAATTGATTACTACACATTTTTTTTCTTTTATATATATTTTCGTACTATTCCATACATTTTCAACAATTTTATATAGGATCTGTTTGAACATCATTATTTGAAAAAAATATATTCTTAAACAGTAATTTAAACATTATTCCACCCCACACATTTTTCAATAAAATAATATTATATGCAAACTCAAAACTTTTTTTTTGATCACACATTTTCCATTAATCTACTATTCCAAAATGCATTCTTTAAAAATAATGTGATTCAAGCACACACAGAGTGTATAGTAATGTTAAAGAGGAGAGATATCAATGAAAACTCGAAGCGAAAACTGATGTGACATATTTTGAATTTTCAGAAATGAGAAGTAAAACGGAATTTGCCAAGTTCACAGAGGATGACAAAATATCTCACTATTATAAATGAGGTTAATATGGTTCCTACCTTGCTTCCAAGAAATCTTGTATCATTAAAATTTGGAGTCTTATCTTATTCGATGTTGTGTCGTGCTTCCTAAAATTGAAGCGAGCGCCAATTCAATCCTACTTTTTTACCATCATAAAGTTGACCTAGATGACTTGTTCCATCTAGAGCATATCAGACCCTATTTCGACCCGTTATCACGCCTAACGTTTGACTCTGATAGGCGGTCAACCATTCGTTCAACCAAAATCATAATTCATACAAAAGAGCGTAGTCTAATTACCTCAAACACCTCAATCCCTCACGCTCCAATCCGTTTCCCAACTATCTTCATCGTTCCCCTTCAAAGCACGTGCATCCTTTTTCTCTAGTCACGTGCTCCCCACTTCTCCAGTTTCGAATTCGACTCTCTCTCTCTCTCTCTGTTTTTCTTCCCCACGCCACTTTCTATACAATATTTATACATTTCCCCCAAATTCAATTCGTACACAAATGGAAAAAGAATCATTGTAATTCAAATTCATTGTAAAATCAAGATTCTCAATAGGATGTGAAGAAAGAGAGATGCACGCCTATAATCGGCTCCCGAGTAGCGGACACAACAGCCCATCTTCGCCGCCGTCTTCGCCTGTTTCCCGTTCGCCCCGGCTGCGCCACCGATCCTCCGCCTCTGGCAGACCGGGTCGGCCCGCACCGAAAACTCTAGCCCAGCGACTCGCCTGGATCCTTCTTTCTGTCCTATTAAAACGCCAGGGCATTTTCTTATTTGCACCCCTTTTGTACATCTCGTTTATTCTGTTTTACATGGGGACGGTGTCGTTTGACGTGGTTCCGGTTATAAAGCATCGGCCGGCGCCTGGATCAGTATACCGGAGCCCCCAGCTCTATGCGAAGCTTCGGCCCGAAATGGACTCGGATAATTTCTCTGTTGATACGGTTAGTATCTTGCGTAAACAGAAATTCGAATTCTTAGAACTTTTGTGCTGTTTGTGAGTTTTGAATAATGTGATTTAAATTGAAAAATGACTGGCTTTTTGCTTTTTGGTGATTTTGACTCTTTCCTATCATAGTATTAGTATAGCTGCATTAATTGTAATGCCTAGTAATTTTCAGTTAGTTGGACAATATAACATGTGGAAAATTAGTATATCAAAAGAAACTTGAATGTGAACGTTGTTGCTTCTTGAAAATTTAGTACAACCTTAGATCTAGAATCTGTGAAGTTAAAAAAACAGCTCTCTTCTGGCTTTAGATTGATGGAGTCGATTTAAATGACAGATACTGTACGTCATCTGCTTGGATTTGGTTGTGCATATAGAAAATTATGATCTTAGATTCCCGAATTTTGACAATTAACAGTACTTACCTTTCCTCACAGATTTTAGTTATGCTATATTTCTTTTGAATTGGAAAAGATTACGATGTAGTTGTCCAGGGCTTTGTGTTTATTCCCCTCTCCCTGTCCTTGAATAGCGTAGCTAATGAGGTTAGTGTGCACATTTGTAGCCCGAGACTCAACTTGTTGATATTAGAGTCCAAGAAACACTGATGAAATTGAAATATCTATTCTTGTGTTCTGGTCATCTAACCTTTCTTGTTGCCATCAATATTTAAACAGGTTGAGTTGTTAATTAATTAAATTTATGCTTGGAAATCAGCATTTTTCTGAGGCTATTTTTATGTAACCTTTCTATGAGGGCTGTGAAGGAACATCCCCCAGCAACCATCTATTATGAAATTTGTCTTTTACAACCAAGATTCTTTGCTTGCCTTTTGACACCTTGACGCAGATATTAGACTAGGAATTAGTTGAAGCCAGTTGATATTGAACCTGAAAAATTGAATGTACATGCCAATTAAATCCCACTATGGTTCTTTGTGGACCATTTCTAGCTCCTGCAATCTCATTAATAACTGGACTGGTCGAAGTTCTTTGCGCATGTTTCATTGCTTGCTGAACATGGAGGTATGTTTGCACGATCTTTTAAAGAATGTCAGTAATGTATTCTACTATAAAAAGTGTCATGATTTGTGGAAAACTTCTTTTTAGATTGACTGCAGATTGATGACCAGATCAACATTTTTTTCAATTAACTCATAACTGTGATTGATTAAAAGCATATTACTCAAGACAAAATCCCCCCTTTGCTGAATTAGTATTATGGTTACATAATGAATCAGGTATAAGCTGCAAGTAGAAAAATTATAGGTTTACTTGAAGTGAGGTATATAGTCATCATCTGCTAAAGTCGATAGCTTTTCTAACCTTAATGTGGTTTTTTATTAACTGGAGACTAGTCTTGGAACATGTAAATCTTCTAAGTTTTACACCTGTTCTTCTGGTTTGGTTCAAATTGTTTGACTGGGTATTCTAACTCTGGATTTTCAACTTGAAATGCTTTGGTGGGAGATTTATCCATGATAATGCAGTGACCCTATTTTTGCATTTCTTTTCTGCTCTTGGGCAATGATAATAGTCTTGTCATTTTCACTTTCTTTCTAGATTTGGAATAATTAACATGTGATCTTTGTTTGCTTTTGTAAATGTTACTTCAAGTTGGAAAAGTGACTTTCGAGTCTATCACATGCATGAACTTGTTACTTCGCCTAGTTTGCTTTAAACTCATGCCTAGAAAGTCAAATAAACATGGATAGCATATCTGTTATAATACGCAAATATAGAAATTACTGTGACATGAAGTAACTATTTGGTGGAAGTGAGATCTAGTTCTATCTTTCACTATTGATAGTTCACTGGATTGTGGTGCCATGTGATGGCTTATAATGGTAATCTTTCAGTGTTCTCCCTTAACCAGATTCCTACAAGGGAGGGTCTGAATTTATTTTCAGTTGTTAAATATTTTGAGAAGCCCTCAAATGACACTGACTTCTGTATTTCCCAAAAAAAAAAAATGCTTTTTTAATTTCAAAAAAAAAAAAAAAAAAAAGAAAAAGAAAAAAAAAGAAAAAAAGAATTGCAATTATGATTTGATAAAAACATGTCTTAAATTGCTGAAAGATTGTTGATTAATGGTTTCACATGCGCTTTCTGCTAAGGCTAATTTTGAATTTCATTCTAGATATCGACAATATGGAAACACTCTTATAAAGGGGGTGAATGGAGACCATGCACAAAAAAGTCGTCAGGAGGTAGGAAAATTGGTCAATGCTTGCCAACTCCTTTTTAATTTTTCTTTTAAATTTTAGATTTATACCTATTAATTTTTCGTACCAAACAGCCTAACATAGTTTATGTAAACAGCGATTGCAGGCTTCATATTTTGTGACCACTGTTGGCAGATTTTCGCACACACTTCTGATATGATATTTTCTTGATCTTTCATTAGTTTGTGTGGAATAAAATCCCCTCCATTTATTTCACACATTTTCTAATTCTATTTACTTTTTATTTTTGGTCTGACCTTTCTAAGTCATAATCAGAAAAAGAGTTACTGGTCTTGTGATGAAAATTTCTGTTTATGTGAACCGATTTGATTTTCTCCTCTCTTCCATTATTTGCCTCTGATCCTCATAATTAAAGTAATTTGGTAGCAGCCATGGACCCAGAAAATTCCTTGCAGATGGTTTTTGCTGTTTTGATTTCGTTAGAATCAAGTCCTTCACAGAATGTTGTATGTTGGATAGTTTAATTTACTTTGTTCTTGGATTTTGATTAATTTCTGGAAATTTATCATCCCCTAAATTGAACCCTCAGAAGCCACTATATTATAAGAGTGGGTTTTCTAATTGGTGAATGTGAGCACCAATTATATTTGCAGGACTTGGGACTATAGATTGCCGTTCGCATGCTCCATTAATGATGCCATACCTATTCACTTCTAGCACATCACTAGCAACTGTATCTCTGGTCTCCATGAATAATTAGTGCATCTGATGAAAGTTTTTATATTGTTCACTTTGCTTTGGAGGATTTGACTGCCAATAACCTAAGCTTTCTAATGTGTCGTCAGTGGGCATCTAGTTATGAAATCAATATATATCATGCCTTTGGTTAGTGATTTTACACAAACAATTTATTTTCTTCTCAATTTAATGCATGACTGCCTATTGTGGTTCCCACAGTTTTTGCATCTAGCCACTGCAAATGCTAATTAATGCTTTGCACCGATAGGCCTCCTTATTATGTTGGCATCTATACAATGATGCTAAAATTATTGCATTTATTATATTCTCGATTTCGACCTGAATATAGTTTTCTGTTTCCATTCGTATTATTTTTGTTCACTATGCCGTGGCTGCTGTCGATGTTATATTGCAGTGCCCTGACTAATTTGTAACTCTTTATTATTGACTAGTCATAGTCATATTTGCGTTTTACCGTGTTTTTAAATTTTTTTGTAAGCGTATGTTGAAAAGTTCACAAAAAATGAAGACGGTAAAGTTGAAGGAAAATATTTCATAATACATATAAAATGCATATGACATCAATATCATCAAATCATAAAGATAAGCACAATAAAGGAAATTTTGAGTTTGGATTAAATTTCAGTTTTATTTATGAACTTTATTAACTGGTCCACAAATTCAAATAATTCTTGTGTTTTGAATTATTTATTATGGTTGATGAGGCAAAATATATGTTCAGTACTTGAAGTTTGTTTTGTTACTTCCTATGTAGATATTTTCTATCGAAATGTTGCTTAATTTTAATTTTATTCTTGATTCTCTAGTCTTCTGTCCTGGAGTTTCTATAAAAATTAGTTTTTTATACAATTTATGTGTATATTGAAGTATTTTTCTGTTAGCTGTACAAACACTGCATGGTGATATTGATTGGCATTTCATTAAATATGTATCCATGTCTATTCTATTTCAACATGGGCGATTCTCAATCTTTTGCACTTCCTTGCACGCCATTTTTACTGGCCAACAAATTGCCTCTTCTATGTTGAATAATGTATATTTCCTTTTATTATTACTATGATTATTATTCATTTTTCTTGTGTTTCCACTCATTGATCTTATATTATTCTTGCTTATTTAACTTATATTGATATATTCAGGATAATGTGCTTTCTTTTTACCACTCCATTTTTTAATTTTTTTTTAAATCGTATGTGTAATTCAAGATTTTTTGGCTTATAGTGATAGTTTAGTTCTTTTATTTATTTATTCAATATATTCATTTGTATATCCGAATACTTACATTCATATTCCATATACAAGCGTTGAATGGGTGGTGAAGTTTGAATGTGATTTTTAAAATACGTATGTATATTGGCAAAAATATTTAGATACACATTTGCTTTAATTCAGAGTATAAAAGCTATTACTTGTGGGCAAATTAAGAAATTATTAAATATTAGTGAGGACATTGTTGTCCAAAAAGAGATTCTCATATCATATGACAATTATATTATAGATATGCTTCATCTGTAGCTTTATTAAGTGTAGCTTAAGATGATTTTTGTTTTAGGTTTACCTGAGTCAAATGGATACATTTATGTTGAGGCGAATGGTGGTTTGAACCAGCAGAGAACATCGGTATGGCCAATATTATTTGTTTTCCTCTTACAATGCTTCTACTTTCATAGATATGCAGCCTAAGCAATATCCGTGCTCTCTATTTGTTGTTTTTGCTTTAGATATGCAATGCTGTTGCTGTGGCAGGATATCTTAATGCTACACTTGTAATTCCCCATTTCCATTTTCACAGCATTTGGAGAGATCCAAGGTGTGTAGTATTATTATCACATCTACATGTGCAATGTGCATTAGTGTAAACAAAGGGTTTTTTTTTTTTTTTTTTAAATGCAATCATAATGGATATGAAAATACGTAGCACCTTTTGCTGTTGCTGTGTGTAAACCGGAAAGGATGGCCATGGCCAGTCAGCTTATGCTAAGTAGGCATCATTGAAAAATGAGATCCATCATATTGATGAAATATTGGGTCCCACTATGCAAGTAATGTGCTTTTGATTCGGCCAATGTCAAATAGACCTGTTTTGCGTCAATTTATTTCAATATGGGCCAAATGCATTTGACGTTTAACTTTTAGATTGTTTTGGGGTGGTAATATAATCCAATCAATTGTTTCCTTGTCATTTTGGTTGAAGATGACGTGGCACTGCCTATGCATGTTCGCCATGAACTTTGTGGCGTATCTCGTATCTCAAAAGTGAGTCTGGTTACTGTCACAGTGGCAAGACTCACTTTTTTGGACCTTTTTGATTTTGAGATAGAAGTGTAAAGCAATATTCAGTTGATGAGATGATGTCCTTGTCTTTTCCAAGATAGAAGGTTTGACGGCAGTTTTATATGTGCAGCAAATTTGGTGATATTTATGATGAAGAGTTTTTTGTGAAAGCACTAGAAAATGATGTTCGGATAGTGGAGACAGTTCCAGGATACATAATGGAGCGATTTGACTACAATATGAGCAATGTGTACAACTTCAGGATAAAAGCATGGTCATCCATCAACTACTATAGGGATTCTGTTCTTCCAAAGCTACTTGAAGAAAAGTGAGTAATATTTTAACGTTGTCATACATTATAGATCTGAGTGTGGAATTTTTTTCTTGATTGGCATAATGGTTTTGAATATTTCTGCTATTCATGATCTGAAAGTAAATTTTTTTTTCTTCATTCTATCCCTTATGACACTGCTATTCTTTCAGAATGAGTATAGTAGACTTCTAATGCTGTCAATTCCATTACTACCACGTATTCTTTAGTCATTATAACTTTTCCTTTTATATTATTACTTTTTCTCTTGCATCTATTGGGATGAATATGACCGGTAGGAATTCAATTAGGAGCTAAAATTTGTATAATTCATGGATGTCAAAATTGTTGGAGGACTTTGGATTCTAGTAAGGACCTTGACCTTCAGTGATAAGGCCTGGACTGGGCATTGTGTTGATGGATATTTTACTTAGGTTTTTCTTTTTCTTTTCCTGCATTATAATTTCTTGAAATTATTTGCTTTATCAATTTGGAAAATTTTCTTTTACAATTGGTCAACACAGGATTATAAGGATTTCTCCTTTTGCAAATCGTTTGTCATTTGATGCACCTCCACCAGTTCAACGTCTAAGATGCTTGGCGAATTATCAAGCTCTGCGGTTTTCAAGTTCCATTTCTGCTTTGGGCAATACCTTGGTTTCAAGAATGAAAGAACGCAGTGCAAATAATAGTGGCAAATATATTTCTGTGCATCTTCGCTTTGAAGAGGTTAGTTTATATATTGAGGCACTTTATTTTGTATGATCAGCTATGAAAATCCTTGGTAAGCATTTATCATCCTTTTGTATAGGACATGGTTGCTTTCTCTTGTTGTATATATGATGGCGGAGATGGAGAAAAAAGAGACATGGATGCTGCAAGGGAGAGAGGTTGGAAGGGAAAATTTACAAAACCTGGTCGGGTTATTCGTCCTGGAGCAATCAGGTTGAATGGGAAATGTCCCTTAACACCGTTGGAGGTATTACCTTCTATACTTTCATCGCTTTCAATTTTTAACCTTTTTATTTTTCCTGACATGTGCATTGTGTACGAAAACACATGCCTTTTATGCTTTCTTTGATTTTTGGCCTATTGGAAGACTACCAAAAAACATTGACTGTCTTTTTCTGAACTGTTCCCAGTTTGGAGTTTTCCTGTGTTCCTCTTTCATACATATGTAGTTTGACTTAATAAAAATATGATCACTTGTGGAAGGAAACTTCCTCTGTTTAGCATATTAAGCTGTTCACTCTTATTAGGCTTCTTATCGAAGAGTTGAAAGCTGGTATCTGATGGCATATATATGACTGAACTGGATTGGAGAAATGCTTTCCGAACTGTACAAGTGAAGATTAAGTTTATATCATTCGGTTATGTTGATCTGTGAGATGCTATAATAATTTGTACATTCACAGAATGAAATCATAAAGTTGAAGTCGGTATCTATGAAATTGGATTGGATCAGTAGTGTAAAGTCCATTATATTATGAGGATGAAATATGACAATTACTGACTATAAACCTGAGGGAGCACAGATCAGATGAGCTGCTGATTGTAACTATTGGAACAGACGTTAAACTTAGGAATTTCAAGAGATATTGTTCCACAACACATAAACCCACTGCTGCTTTCAGACATTTAATGCGAAGGGACAGAGCTTATGGATGCCCATTCCGTTCTCCTGCAGAAGCTCCTTCTCAAGAGTTCAAACAGACAGAAGAGAATCCTGCTGCTAAAAAAGTCCATACCATGGGATATTTGGCGTGATTTGTTCTGTTAAGCCCTTTCCAAATTCACAGGATAAGACTTGTGAATCCTTTGCAATTTAGAACACTAAAATTGACTGAATCCTCAGAGATAAATCTGCACAGCTGTATGAAATTACAAGGTCACTAGTTTAAGCAGATTTCTCCAGTTTTAGTTTTTGTGACAACCCGAATTCTTAACAATTCGAGTGTCACTAAGTCATAAACTAAAACTAATTTGAAGAATATTCAAACACAATCATATAAATTATTAAAGCACTTACCTAAATTCAAATAATGTAACGAGTTTAATAAATTAACTTGAAACGAGAAATATCTTAAACTATTTAAAATCAAATGAAATAATAACAGCTTGACAATTTAATAATTTTAATATTGAAACTTTTGCCATCATAAACCCTCTCCATGCCAACTATTTCGAATTGTCAATTATTTGAAAGTAGAGACATAATGGGCAATAATAATTCTCAGTAAGCGTGCGTGGATAATGAATTCATATATGTATTTCTATGGAAAATTTTTAACTTGCATAGGGGACACGAAAATTGGACCGAACTTATGTGGTGCTTAATTCTCGTGGATAGCGCTATTAAACTTTGGTCTATTCTTAATAAAACATACGTAACATAGGCCAAAACATAACATAGCCGTTGAAATATTACGTACATAAACATTAGCAATCATAAACATAAAGCACAACTTCTTTTTTATGCGACAATTCAAAATGATAAAAGGAATTATTGTTGGAAAGAGATCTTTGAGCCACGTGTGCGGTTGATTATTCATGTGTGATTGTATACTATATTCAATATAGAAATGATGAGAGAAAGAGAGGAGGTGGAGAGAGAGTTATAGAGAGAGAGAGAGGGAGAGTGTATAAATAGTTGTTGAGTGGTAGTTTAGTGTTGAGTTTAAATAGTGTGAATTCTTAATAATGTGTAGAAAAGTGAAAGTAGATGGCTAGATGTTAGGCATGGTTAATGCATAAATGGTGTATTATCATGAAAATGGTCAAATCAATTCATTTGGTTTACAACTTGGTGTAATTAATGCATGTGGTCAAATCTTTATTTAAATGGTCAAATAAATTATATTGGCTTGAAATTTAGTGTGAATAATGCACGTGGTCAATAAATCATCTTTAATCAAGACCAATAGGTATATTTGCATATGTTTTACACATGATTTCATTTAACTTCCAAAATAATTTTCCACTTAGGTCCTCCAACTATTGGTCAATAACCGATAAGGTCATTAGTCTAGGCCAATAACCAATAAGATCATTAAACTTTAATAATAGTTCACCTAAGTCCTAAATTTTTATCTAACAACTAGTAGCAAAAATTTGGGATGTTTCAGTTTTATTCTGAACCCACTCTTGATCTTGATAATTCCAAGATCTGCTAGAATTTGATATGTACATTTGATACACCTCAAAGCCACTTGAAATTGATTGTTCTAATTCAGTGTTTGGGAAACCTTATTAGTAATTTATAATTTACTTTTCAAAGCCAAACATTAATGTTAACCAAACATTTATAGAACCCACAACTACTATCCATTTATCCGCCACTCATTTCTATCACGGTATATTTTTAGCTACTTATAATGTTATCCAAACACACTAAATATCTGCTCTCATGAGGTCTTCCTACTTAATTTAACCTAGTTATTTAAATGATTTCATTTGCTAATCTGTCTATATTTTAGTATCTTTTATTTATGACCTATCAATGTGTCTTCAATTGACCAGGTCGGTTTGATGCTAAGAGGGATGGGTTTTGACAAAAGTACATCTATCTTTTTAGCATCAGGAAGAATATATGACTCTGAGAGGCATATGGCTCCACTGCTTGAAATGTTTCCTCTTTTACAAACAAAAGAGATGCTGGCATCTGCTGAGGAACTAGCTCCATTTCAGGTCTGAATGGGAGCTTTTCTTTCATTCTTCCGTATCTTTTCTTCCTGTTTTCCCCGTTATTCTTTTCATGATCTTATTGAAACCATTTTATGACTCAATTTACTGTTTTTAGAATTATTCCTCAAGAATGGCGGCCATAGACTATACTGTTTGTCTTCACAGTGAAGTATTTGTAACAACTCAAGGCGGAAACTTTCCCCATTTTCTTTTGGGTCACAGAAGATATCTATATGGGGGACACTCCAGGACAATTAGGCCTGACAAGCGGAAGTTGGCATTATTATTTGACAATCCAAATATTGGGTATGCGTTTCTTCTCATCACTCTGGTTTTACTTTGTTAACTACAGTTGGAAGATGGCATTACATTTTGACCTAAATATTGGTATGCCTTTTTTCTTTTATCTTTTTTTTAGTTCATCATTCTGGTTTCCAATGAATCAACATCTGTTAAAGTGGCAGTGCATGCAGTGTCGTGCTGAGGAATATTTTAATCCCATAATCAATATGAATGTGACTTATTTGCGTTGTTACCTGATATTTCAAATAGCGGGCATGTTTATTTTTTTCTTAATGCTACTTTCACATGGCTAACAGTTGATTCAGTTATCCCACTCGTGTAGAATCATGCATTGATATTCTTGATAATTTGTGTAGGTCTCAGTTTTGTTTTCTCATTGTATACTGATAGTATAGGTTTGTCTTCATTAACAAAACTTTGTTTATGAGGGGCAAAAAGATGAATCAATAAACATAAATTACTTATATATTTTTGAGTTTTGACATATGAGATAATAACTTTCTAATTTAACAGTATTACAATCCCTGTCATTACTTCAATGGTATATTGTATTGAAATTTTTGACGACTAAATTAAAATATTTAAAAATTCACTATGACTATTAAAAGAATATGCTTTAAACAATTAATTGTTAATTAATCAAGGTACTAAAATATGTAATTCAAATACTAATAAGTTATGTAAAATTATTCAATAATAATGGGCTAAAAGTAGTAATTTGCAAAAAATCTAAACTTAAGTCATTCAAGTAATAAAATGTTAATTAGGTTTTAGTAGTTTAAATATAATTTATATTAAATTAGGCCATAATTAATTAATTATCAAATAAAATTAAATATTAAAAACATCCAAAATTTTTATCAAATTAATAATTGTTAAATTAGGTCAAATATACTACTAGTTAAAATTTTTATATATATGCTCAAGTATATTACATTAATTTAGGAAATAATTAGAACATGGCTGAAAATAGTAATGCGATAATTCTTTAATAATTTTAGCACAATATGTTTACTAGTGACCTTAAAAATTTTATTAGAGTTTGCAAATCATACCGAGCTGTACTTTTTGGAAGTATCAATTCTCAAATGTATTAATTTTATACTATTAAAATAATATAATTTAGTATAATTTAGAATATTTTATATGAACAGTAATATTGCATTGCTTTATTATGCACAAGTATTGTAATGTTCTTTTCAGTTGTGACACTTATCTCCTGTTTGCCAACCATTAAAACAACACTTTTTTTCTCGCTCATTTTTAACCGTACATTCTCATAATAAAATATTTTGTATGTAAACCCAAAATTTGAAAGACATTTAAAAAAAAAAAAAAATCACTATTTCAAAACTCAACCCCCCCCCCCCCCCCCCCCCCCCCAATTTTTTTTTTTTTTTTTCACTTAATTGTGCTACAAGAAAACATTTTGCCAGTCAGGGGCGGAGCCAGAAACATTGTTCAGCGCGGGTACAATTTAATTAATATCGAACTTTGAGTTTTTGACTATGGATTTAATAATGATAAAAATATAAAATAATATTATGATAATACTAAAAATGATATAGTTTATAAATTATACTTCTTTCTTGCGAGTTTTTATACTTTGACATCATTGTAAAATAACTTCAAGTAAACTAGATAGTAATGCCGATGAGCAATAACAAATAAAAAGAATCCCGCCTTAGAACTCCCGTCACTCCTATTGAAAATTCCTCATAAAATAGCACCATTTATTTACTTCAACTTCATTTTATAAGTTGGTTTAGCAGGAGGTCAGTTTAGAATGATATCACCTCTCTGGGTTTGGGAATTGGGTTGGGTGAGCGACAATTTTTTTGTTTTAATTTTTTCCTTGGGCCGATGATTGGAAAGCCCAATAAGCTAATACCCAAAAAAAAAAATATGAAAGGGATTGGGTTGAGCCCAAAGTTCAGTGCAGGCAATTCTATTGGGCAACAGGGGCACTTGCACTCAATTCTATTGGGCTCCGCCCCTGTTGCCAGTGACACGTAATTATAAACAACTATGCATTTTTGCTCAATAAACTTGTGGTACTAAATATAAACAACAATAATAACAAAGTCTTTTTGCTAAATAAATTTGTGGTTAGCTGGTGTGAACTTTTATCAAATTTTATGATATCACCTAATATAGAAGCTCAAATATACATACTAAAAAGGGTGCTACTACTTGTAAGTAAATTAAAGAAAGTTGGTAGAATTTTAAAGCTCTATAAAATTAGAGTAGATATACTATCTAGGTGTATTAGAGTGGATTAAGGTGTAGAGTATATTTTAGTTTTTTGTTGAAAAGAATATTATTTGCACTTTCTTTCTTAAACCAACTAAATAGCATAATACGGAGTGAGGAGGAGGTCATATTATGCAGGATCAGAAAGATAGTGCAAATAGCATATTTTGAATGTAAAATCCACCCTACTATATCTTATACTATCTCTTTTAATTTTATTTATAATTTCTTGTACGGTCTAATGCGGTGTGCCAAACATAGCCCCTAGTGGAGCAGCCAGGAAACTTTTCAAGGATTGTGTTTATGTTTATAACAAGAAAATTAGAGGAAAGCATGGTAAATTCTAGTCCATTTCTTCTACATCGTGTTTAACAAAAAACGAAAAATAGGAGAATGCACATATGTTTACTCATATTTTAACTTCTGGGTAAAAAATTTTAATCATTAATACACGATTCTTAACAATTTTGTATTTAAACATATAAAAAATATTTGTCTATTTGAAGTTATTACTGTAATATACAAATAAACTAGGTTTTCTTGAAAGCTAGAGATGGATAGTTGATTGTTATCACTGTTTTCCCATCACAGTCAACTGTGAAATCAAAGTACCCATGTTTCTTTTCTATAATGTATAATTTCGTTAGCAGTAGTTTGTTTTGCCTATATGACAATCAGAACATTGAATATTTCTCCCCACTTCTTTGGATATTTAGTGCACTTCTTGTTTTTGTTCTTGGTCAAAGGCCATGAAGCATGAACACTCCTACACTCCTTGGATACATGTTGAACATGCTATGTGGCTGGGTCCTATTTTTTAATTTTCCAACCCTTGAGGAGACTCTCTGGACCTTGAACATGTATCTGGGGCTGTATCCGATGCCACGTGGTGTGTCCTTAATAGTTCATAATTTTGATCTTAACAAGAACATGTCCTGGATATATCAATGACATCGAAAGCTACATTTTGGTATATGAAATTGAGGAAACTTTTAATTACTTCGAATTTGTTTTACATCTACTATAAGCATTTTCTTTCTCTAGTACTAGTAATATATAGTTTAACCCAAAGTTATCTTAGTATACCATTCGTCCGCAAAAAGCGAATCTTAAAAAAGGAGATAGATAAAGATATGGTCGTAAAAATATATTAAAAGAACATAAATCTCTTCCTTGATGTTTATATGCCTAGAAAAATTTGATTGTCCTTGTCTTGTCATGTTCATGCTTCTTAGGTCAAAGGACAAAAATGACATCCACTATATGTATTCAAAACAAAGTCGAGAAATTTAACAGGAGAAAAGCCTAAAAAACCTTGTTGAAGTATGTATACTCTTATCTTTTCTTCTCCAGATGTCGTTTATTGTGGCTATATCATGGGGTGCTTAGACTGAAATTATTGGATTGTTTGTATATTTGGCAACAACAGAACTTTAGTCAGAACCGGTCCATTTCCTGAAGTGCTCTCATCTCCCTTGGGTACAAGAAGATTGACCATAGGAAGCTTATTACACTTTGGGCTTGCCAAACCGTATTTCATTATTAATGTACCTAGACATTGCTGGAAACCTCTACAATGCTATGTTGCATCTATTATTGTTTTGCTGAGAGAAGATGGTCAATGGGAAGTATCATTGTGCCTTGTAGTAAACCATCTCTTTAAAGGCCTAAGCTTTTAAAGAGGGTTGCATTAATTTAAAATAGGCTTTTAAAGAGGGTTGCATGTTTTCATTTTAATTCATTTCAACATGCCCCCTCTCGTATAGGCTGGGTCTATTTTTCCCACCAATGACCTAACACGTGCACACCTGTTAATTTTCACTTCATTCGGTTCAAATTGCTTCTAGATTCTGCGTCTAACTCTTGTTACATTTTAACCTTGTTAGTCTTTTCAATCCATTTTGGTGTTGGTATTTCTAGGTGGAAAAGCTTCAAGCGGCAAATGCTAAATATGCGTGCACATAGTGATTCGAAGGGAATTGAATTGAAAAGACCAAATGACTCTATATATTCATTCCCGTGCCCAGATTGCATGTGCCGAATTAACAAGACAGAAGATTCGAGATCATCATCAGTAACGTGATATACCGGGGAAACCAAACAAAAGGTGTTCTTGTTCCCGTAATTTGCATGCACATTTTGATGCTAACCCTCATTTCTTAATTGTGATTCTTTCAATTTTTTCCCCTCTGGATTGGTTGGAGGTCGGACACTGGACTCTTGGATTGGATTGGATACAGAGATGCCAGAAGAACGATTAAACTAACTGTTCCTCGGGTGTCAGGGTTAATTGCGTTGCCTCTGTGTAGACGATGCAAGAAGAGAACTCCAAGATATTTCAACAGGGAAGTAACCTGGTCATTAGTTTTGCATCAATTCGTGGTTTCAGCTACTGCATCTAACATGTGAAGTAACAAAGCAGCCGTTTGCTTAAAATGGTGTGTTGACGTTTGTACTCTTGTAAATTAGTGGTTTCAACTGTACTTTAGACCACAGAAACAGGATAGGCATTATACATTACTCTAAAATGTAGCATTAGTTCTATTTTTGGTTTCCCAATTTCAAATTTTAAATGCCAGATTCGGAGAGACAAGAAAATGCATTTCATGGAGTCGTTCGGTGGATCTTTTTTCTGGGTGTTGGATATATCTTTCCCTCTTTGTTCACAGATTTTGGTTTTGTTCAATATTTTTCCGATGGGAATTTGGTCCAATCTCGTTATTGGGGAGTGGGCGGGTTCATGCATTTTTTTTTATTGAGCGTGGGGCCCCTCTCTTGCGAGGGGTGTGTACACGAAATAGCAAATCTCATTGTCAAATAATAGACAGTGCAAAATATTTCAGAATACAATCAACTTAGATTGAATTAATTGGAATATAAACATATTACTTCTTGATTTATTAATGAAATGATATCTTGATTTATACATGAAATAATATTACATGGAGCGGAGAGTTATTTAAAAAAGAAAAGAAAAGGGAATTTTAATATTGACTTTTGGTCAAGAGTATGGCTAGTTAAGTGATTTTCAACAATGCCTTCTAGTTCAAATATATATATATATAAAGAACATCAAAATAATTTAATAAAAAGAGTAGATACAAGTCCAATAATAATTTCTAAATTTCATATTTGTTTTAATTTTACTGGTAAAAAAATTATGGTTCACTATTTTCCCTTATATTCTACTTTAACTCCTCTCTTGTCCACATTGTGGTAGTTTCCTTTATTTAGAAAGGTATATATAGAAAGTTGTAAAATAATAATTCAAATAATTGTATAGATAGTCTCTCTACATTTAGATAGTCGAATTCACTCTTTAATTTTAAATTTTAACTGTAGAGAGTTTAATGAATACTTAAAATAAGGAACTAACTCACTAAAAAAACATGATACTATTAAGAGCTTATTTAAACCATTTAACTACAACAAAATCACTAAATTTAGATAAATTGTTATTTTATTGAGTCAAAACTAGAGATGATTAAGATATTCAGTTGCATGAAGTAATTGTTACACAATTAATAAAGATATTTACTTCAAAGCAAGAAAAAGTAACGAATTCAAATAAAGTTGGAAACAAAAGTGTGTTTAAAAGTAGTGTTCTAAAAAAGTCGAGCCTTAAAAGCGTAGATGTAAATACGCATTTTCTTAAAATCATTAAATAAATAAGACAATGCATGCCAAACAACTAAAATTGTTTGAATTTTGTATCGAAAATTGGTTGTGACCAATTTTAAATGATTATTTAAGTGGAATTCCTTATTTGGTGAATGAGAAATTAAGTCAAAAGTAAACCGCTTAAATTCTTGAAATTACTGGAAAATAGTATAGAATATTGTGGAATATACTAGAAATATATGGATGAAAATATGTGTCTTTTCATATGAAAGGTCATGACCTTTGGCGTGATTAATTTCCAATAATTATGAATTCCAAGAGGTGTCTTTTGGTGTGGGTGTGTTTTTTGACATACTTTTCCAACTACTATATATTAGCTCCCATGTGTTTGGATTTTATCATTCAAGAAATTCAGAAATACAAGTCAATAGATAATTCCATATCATTCCATCACATGTCTACAGTATAATTCGCATTAAACACTAGCATCAAAGTCATGGTTATGGTAGAGAGGGGATCTTGTTCGAGTTTGTTAATCTAAGCCATTTGAAGTGCTCCTATGGCTAGACGTGGTTGTTGTATCTTGGGAGATAATTGTCTGGAAAGCCGTTAGCACCGATGCGGGGCAACTTCATCTTAATGACAAAGTTCGATCCTAAGGATGGCTTGCTTCCATTCAAGAATCGTAAAGAGATTAATCCATATTCATACATTCGGATTAGGTAACTATTATTGTTTTGCTTCTCAAATTCATTTCGATAAGTCGAAATTACGTTTCGATTTCACGCAAATAAATGGCATGAATATAATATGCACAATATCAGTAAAATTTTTCAACAATCTTAAGATGAATTTTGTTTGTTGTGCGTAAAAATATTCTGTTAAATACATACATATGTCTCGTCTTGGAATTTGTGAATTATTGAGCATACATGAAATCAAATTGAATAAGTTAGATTGCTGTGACCATTATGCACATATTATTCGACAAATTCACGTTGATCCATATTTATCAATAAGTCAGCCATAAAAATATGATGTGGCTAAGGCCATGAAGTTGAACAAAGTTTGATGGTCAAATGGTGGCCAAGTATATATATTAAATGCACACTGATACATTGCTGCAAATTAAACCAATGGCTTTGGGCCGAACTCCGAACATTATGGACTGTGCATTCTTTTAAACATTTAAAAGGAAAATGCATGTGTTCTGAATTCTCTCATGTACCAGCATGTATATTTGGTCAAAAATGGTGGCTATGAATACAAATAATAAGACTAACTTTGTTTGCCATGAAAGTAGTAAATGGTTTCCCACTAAGAAAAGTGAAAGTTAATTACTGTGAATGCTTTTTTCAATTACATGTCCGTTGCATAAGATCTATTATGAAACTGTGCTATCCATTTATGTATGGTTGCAAATGTTGGCTGCCTAAGTGGTTCCGTTTACTTGTGGTGGAATAAAGATCCATTAAATATATGGTTAATACAATTCATGTTGGAAATTAAATTTTGATTGTGACTCCCTATTGAATTATAAAATACGTTTTGATGTCCCAGTTTGTAACTGTCATTGGAATAAATTATTGGAATATGTGACTTTTCATTTTAAATGTAATGAAAACGGTGGACTTATGCATGTGCTTGTGTCCATTGCATCTTTGATATTAATAATTTCAAATTATGAATTGATTAATTATAAATGGACATTGTGAACCATTTCATATTTTGCAAGTCGATAATTCCAAGTTAAAAATTATGAACGGACATGTAGTTTTATGATTTTGACGTATAGAATTTATTTGTCAATACAATGGCCTGCGCTTTATTTGGAATGGTTATACAAATATGCATGAAGGAAATCTATGTTCCTTTGTTTGGATAGGCAATTTTGTTAGGTGTCTATATGATAATCACGGAAAGTGGATATGGAATGTGACATTATAGTGTTATTTGGATTTCGGATAGACTTTTTGGTCTGTATATGTAAATTCGATATATATGGTAAGTTGCATATAATCTGAATATACGGTATGCTGGTGCAAATACAGTATGCTGTTGTAAATATGGTATGCTGGTACAATTACGGTATGCTGGTACAATTACGGTATGCTGGTGCAAACACGGTATGCTATTGCTGTTGTAAATACGGTAAACTGCATATACGGTAAACTGTAAATACGTTAATCTGTATATACGATGTGCGTAAATAGGGTACATTGCATATACGGTTTGCATAAATCTAAATATCTAAATTTCATATACGGTATATGTTCATCCGGTATTGATTTGAAAATTATAGTAACCTTGATTTATGATGATAGTCTCAAATAATTCCATGAAATTAAATGAGACGACTTGTGCATAATTATAGTTGCATAAGAGTATGACAAAATGTGGTTTGTCCAATTATTTTAAAGTGAAAATTGCTTGCCCAATTATTGGGTTGTGAAAATATTTTATAGAGCACAAATGACGTCTATAGTTGGCAATGATGCCGGATATCCTTGAAAATAATGATTGTAAAATGACATTCATTTGTAAAGGATAAAAATCATGTTATGCAAATTATGAAGAATATTATGAAATATTCTAGAGGTATGTCATTTTGTAAGGTTGCGACTTTGAGAACACAACTTGTCAATTTATGATTGATTAATTCATTCAAATATGAATATAGAGAATAAGGAGAGGTTACTTGGTCTTCTTCATTGTTGAATTTGACTTCAATCTTGAAACCAATTAAGTTGATATATGCTTTGAACTATGTGATGACTTTAATTTAATTTGGATGATCAAATTAATATGATTGATTGAAGTACAATTTCGAATGGAAAATGATTTTCATTTGCGTGAATCGAACCACTATTTTGAAAGTACTTAGACTTTCACGAAACACTTGATATTGATATTGTCAAAATGATAAATGGAGTGAACTATAAAAGAGTTGATGAACTTTAAATTCAAGAATAACCCAAAAATGTGGCGGATTAACATTAATATTTGAGAACTTATATGAAAAATTCAAGTTGTGTGGGTGCAATGCTAATTGATTACGCCCAAAGAATAACATAGTAGTTGTAGCACAGCTTTGTGGTGTCGATTCCACAGGGAGATGGACGAATTGTTTAAAGGATTTATCGAACCAGTATTTCGTGAATTATCTGAAAATAATTTGTCAATTGGAATGAGATTTAATTATCAATATAAGAGATTAGTGAAGCGTCCGAGTTCCTTCAATTGGATTGGATAATCAACATCAATAATTCATGGCTTTTTGCTCAATTAGAGGTTTTCATCGCAACTCTCTAATCGGAAGATTTCACAATGAAGATCAATCAAATTTCAATTGTAATCTTAGGATCTAGACTTTTGTAAATCATTTCCACAGATGTTTATTGGACTAAGATTAAGAATTGACCATATACACAATGCATAAGGCAGTAAATAATCCATCAATAAAGTTGACTGAGATTGAAATTCAACAATTAGTTCAATTCCACAATAGAAAAAATATGATTGAATCTATGAAGAATCTAGTAAAAGTTAAATTAATTCCAAAGTAAATTCATAAAAGAAAGTCTAGATCTAGAAGTGTTTGATAATAAAAATACCAATTTGCATGAATAAATGATGTGAAGTCGCCAAATCCAATGAATTCTTTTATAGCTTCACCTAGGAATTTAGTTCTCTATCTAATTCTTTAGTCCAGGATGAGAGAAAATTGTTATGCAGGTAAAGAAGAGGCGTGTTTTGTCCAAACTAGGGTTTAAAATCGTGTGCCAAGTTGTTTCCAAAAGAGGTTGAACCAAATAAGAAAACTAAATTTTAGACTAGAATATTCTGTGCAACTACTTTCAGTATTTTAACAATAACTTTCTCTCCTGATATTCGAATAAGAAAATTCAAACTGTATTGAAAAGCTAACACAAAGGGCTACAATTTTTCTAGGAGTAGCTTTTTCTAAATTCTGACGTTTACTGGGTCAAAAGTGGACTTCAATCTCCGGTTGAAAATTTGGAAAATCTT